TTCCCTCTGTGTCCAAAATTCCTCTTCTTACAAGGCACCAGCCATATAGGATTGGAGCCCAACTGAATGACCTCGTTGTTATTTAATTTCCTCTTTAAAGACCCTATCTCCAAGCATGGTTACATTCTGGGGTACTGGGGGTCAGGACTTCAGCATATGAGTTGGGGAAGACACAATTCAGCCCACAACCCCTGCCTGAAGCAGCAGGCATCTTATTTCAGACAGGCAGCTTTGCACCAAAGGCAACTGCCTGCTGCGCACAGGGTGTTGTCACCTGTGGTTTCTCCTTCAATCCCTTTACCACCACGGCCCTCCCCAACCCCCAACCCCCAACCCCCTACCCTCTACCCCCAGAGGTCAGCAGAGAAGGCATTTTTCTGCTTGAGAAAGCATAGGTCCTGAGAAGTGAAGCCAGTGGCCCCAAGCTGGGGCCCAGGAGTGAGGGTGCTGGACTGGAACTATGTCCCCTCACTTCACTGCAGTGTTCTTTCAAACTCATTGCATATGGGATCCGAACATTTCCCTCCTAGGAGGGAAGAAAATACTTCCTCTGGGAAGTGCTTTACACCAGAATCAAGTTTGTGGGCTCTCACTCTGCTTGTGCTATTTAGTTTGCCAGTTTCATCTCAATACATTTATTTGCTAAATAAAGTCACTTCTCCTTGAAGTTGGCTCTCATACAGCTGCTGTGGGCCAGCTGCTCTGATGGGCACCTCATGTGTATTATATGTCAAAATAAACAGTGTTTTGAGATGAGAAAGTGGAGGCTTACAGAGGTAAAAATTAAGCAGCCAGTCAGTGCTGAAGGAGTGCCCTGAGCCCAGATAAAATTTGTCCGGAAGCCCATGTTCTTTCCAGCATATGTCCTTCAACAAATCCATTCATTCAGCAGGTATCTATTAAGGGCCCACTGTATGCCAGGCTTGTTCAAGGTGCTGCTAGATGTTCATCTGTTCATAAGACAGACTCCAATTCCTGGCCTTATGGAGCTCAAAATCTTCCAGAGGCAGACAAACAATAAATACAGTAAGCCAGTAAGTTACGCTATACATTAGAATGTGGTAAGTGCTGTGGAACACAAGAAATGGTGCAAGGTAGGGGTGATCAGGAATGCTGGGGGTGGGGAGAAGGCAAGTATTAAATAGGGTGGTCAGGGAAGGTCTCATGGAGGAGGTGATGTTTAAACAAAGACCTGAAGGAATGAAGAAATTAAACCATGTGGATATCTGGAGAAGAATATTCCAGGCAGAGAGAACAAGTGCAAAGGCCCTGGGACAGGGGAATGCCTGTTGTGTTGTAGGAATAGCGAGGAGGCCACATGGCTGGGATGCACTCAGAACAGAGGCACTGGCTGGTGTCGGGCTGCCAGACCATAGCCAGGACCTGGGCTTATTCTGAGCAAAGGCAGGGTGGGTGTGACCTGACTCATGTTCTAGTGGGATCACTCTAGTGCTGTGTTGAGAACAGACCACAGGGGAACCAAGAGGAAGCAGAGACACCAGTTAAGAGGCTTTTGAAATAATCCAGGCTGCAGCCTGGACAAGGTGGTCCTGGTACTGAAAGTGTCTGATTCTGCTGCCGTCTCTCCTTCTTCGGTCCTCCCTGTCCCCTGCTCCTCCCCCTCCTTTTTGGAAAGCCTGTGGAATGGGGCTGACTGCATTCCAGTCCTGTTCCCAGTGAGCAGCTCAGAGGCCAGAGAAACCTGATTCAACTCTCAGAATATCGGTTTTCTCATCTAGAAAACAGGGCGAAATGGAGTTAACTATGCTAACCTCACAGGGCTATTCAAGAAGCACCTATGGTGATGGATATAAAGCGCTTAGCAAATTACAGCTGCTCAGGCCCAGCTGGCTCTGCAGTTCCTGCCAGACTCCAGGTCCTGAAACCTGCGTCAGACTGGGGCTCTCAGTTCTTGTGCCCCCCTGCCCCCAAATGGATGCAAGGACAGTCCTTTCCCCACAGTGGGGGAGAGGCATGAGGGCTCAGGAATGGAGGCAACCCTATGAGGGCCCAAAGACAGAGGCTGCAGTCATGGGGGAACCAATTTAGAGAGACCCAGAGACAGGCTTCCTGTCTTCTGGTCCTCAGGGGAGGCAGCTGTGGATGAGCACTGGGTTAGGAGTCCAGCAACCTGCATTTATTATTTTTTTTATTGAGGTAAAATTGATGTACATTATATTCATTTCAGGTGCACAACATAATGACTCGATTTGTACATATTACCAACCAATCACCACAGTCAGTCTAGTTAACAGCAACCTGCATTTCCATATCAACTCTGCCAGTTTCCAACTCAATGTACTTGAAAAATGACTTCTCTCTAGGCCTCAGTTTCCCCATCTGTCAAATGCAAAATCTCCGTGCTTCCCTCCAGCCTTCTGGAGATTTTCTGGGCCTGAAGAGGAGCCTGAGCAGTTGTGGAGTCATAGATTTCCTTATTACTCACTTCCTTATTTTCCTACATGACTTGGCCCTGTTTCCTGGCACCCACTTCTCCCCAGCCAATCTCTTGATCTGAACCTCTTCTGCAGGGAGGGCTGGTGATGTGAGCTGGGATCAGAAAGGTGCTGGGTCACACAGCCTCAGCCCGCCCCTAAGGTGGGGCTGCCTCCTAGGGAGGTGCAGAGTCACAGCGGGCAGGGCTGCACGGCCCAGAGCCCCCATTGTACAGAGGGGAGGCTGAGGCTAGAGAGGGGGAGGGATTATCCAGGGCTCACCAAGGCCACTGGAAACTTGGTTTTTTTAAAAAATAGATAGCAAACAGCTCTATGAGGTAAATTGGTGTACATTAAAGTACACCGATGGGCACAACTTAATGAGTTCTGACATCCACATGCACCCATTAACCATGTCCACAATCAAGATGCTTCATGGTTCAGTTCCCCGCAAAGGTTTCCTCATGTCTCTTTGTCATCTCTCTCTCACCCCATGCTCCAGGCAGCCGTTGGTCTGCTTCCCATCCCTGTTGACTAGTTTTTGCATCTCTTTTAAAGTAGAGCTGACAGGACTGGCTGAGCTGTTAGAGGAAGAGAGGGGGGTGCTCTAAGATCTTGGCCTGAGGGGTGGAAGGCTGGAGTTGCCATCATTTGAGAGAAGGGTGGAGCAAAGCTGGGGAGATCCCCAGAGCTCAGCTTTGGACATGTGCATGAGCTGTCAAGTGTCCCCGTGTAGGAAAGGATTGGTGGCAGGTGGTCATAGGTGTCTGGAGTTCCAGGAAGTTTGGGCTGCAGCCATGCAGGGGACTGAAACGCAGAGGCTGGCCAAATTTCCAAGGAGTGAGTGTAGGAACCTGGCTCTCCCACACTGAGAGGCCATTAGGGCTGCTCTCAAAAAGCTGCACCCTGCAGGGCCCAGGCCTCCCCTCAAGGACAGAACTGTGCCATCCCATCTGTGTTTGCCTGGTGCCCGTGCAGAGTCTGGGCCAGGGACAAGCTTGGTGTGTGTTTGTTGAACAATGGGGCTGGCATGGGCAAGAAACTCTCCCCAGCTCTGCAAAGTTTTCAGGAACCCGTTACTGCTTTCTTCCCAGAGCCATGAGTCACAGGAGCAGGGGGTGGGACCCTTTACCATCAGCTACAGGTCAACTACCCAGACAGTGCTGACCTCTTCCCACAGGCCAGCAGGGCACCCTGCCCCAGGCCCTCAGCTCTGGCCTCGGATTCTGCAGAGAGGGAAAAGCAGAATGACATTTGATACATTTTCAAGAATTCCCTCAGCTGACCTCCCAATAACCCCATTAGTTAGGTGTTACAGGTGAGGCAAGTGGGGGCTTCAGAGAGAAGACAGGGGGCAGATTTGAATCCGCGGCCACCTCCCTGGCAGAAGGAAGTTCTGCTGTAAGGAGGGCACCCTTGGTAACACTGCACGAAGGCTTGGGGGCATCTGCCTGTGGCTGTTCCCCACTAGGCAGTCCCTTCTATAGGGCTCATCTCTCTCTGCAAACCTATCATGAGACATTTATTCCATTCGGACTAACCTCCCTGCCCAGCGCCACCTCCAGCACCCTATCCCTGCTTGCCCTTTCAGTGTTAGCCTCATATTGCCCCCACCCTGCCCGGTCCTACAGGACCTCCTCCTCCTCCAGGTGTGTGCAGGGCCCCACGGAAATACCTCCTGAACTTTCAACTTACCCAGTAAATGCCGTGGGCAGCCCCCACTAGGTCTGGTCTGACAGGCACCACCCTAAGCCCTCTTGTAGCTGGAGAGGGGAAGTCAAGGGGTCAATCTGTTATTAACTCTGACTGTGAGGAGTGCTCTAGAGGAACAGACCAGGGCATGGGGCAGAGGGACCAGCCATCTCGGGGCCCACATCCTGGGGCTGTGAGGGGACAGATGGGGCTGAAGGTCACCCAGGGGTTGCCAAAGGGAAGACATGAGGAGACAGCTCCATGCAGAGCTGGAGGGACAGAGAAGGCCTGCATGCCTCAAGGGCAGACCAAACAGGGTGACTTGGGAAGCCAGGTCAGGAGAGAAGCAGGACAAGATTCAGTGTGTCTTATCCACCAGCAGAAAACTGGCCCCTCTCCCCAGCTGGCTCCATAGCTCAGACCCAGGCAAGGAGCAACAGTGGTCTGGGAGCCAGACCACCCCTAGAGGAGGAGGCTCCCAGGTCAGGCCCCACTCGGCAGAGACCAAGCAGATCAAGAGCTCTGCCCGGCAGAGAATTGCTGCTGGTCCCCACAGCCTGTCCGCTGCCAGCTCCCAGGGCAGCCTGGGTGGGGCCCAGGCCTTCCGTCTGCTGGGAGTTTTCTGACTGAGGCGGAAAGGTGGAGCCCTGGAATGTGCCGACCTCTGCCTCCCGCAAGGCTCAGGAGCCCATTCTTTCCAGCACCAAAGCTGTGAGGAAGTCAAGGGTGGGGGAGGCCCAGCGCTGGGGCGGGCCACACAGGAGCATCCACTTCCCTTAAGATGGCTCCCAGAAGGGCTTTGCCTCTCCCCAGAGCCTTCTTCATCCTCCCAAGCATCCTCTCCTGCTGGAAGAGGAAGGCCCCCAAGGCCAGGGTCAGCAGAAGCCTGCAGCGGGGGGTGGGGGTGGGGGTCCTGGCTGAGGCTCGCTGGGCAGACCGAGAACCTCTCTGGAAGCCCCTCGGTCCTGGAGGCCAGCGCGGTGGCACAGGAGCAGAGGGCACAGGAGCAGAGCGCACTTGGCCCGTGCTCGGCAGGAAGTGGCTGGAGGCTAGGAGGGGTGGGGGCTGCAAGGAGAGCTGCAGCGCGGGCCTGGCATAGGGAGGCCCTGACCTCCAAGGGAGCCGGCGCTCTGGCGCCATCCTTGCCCTCTTCAGACCTCAGTTGACCTTGTCTGTGAAACGGAACCCATGGCTGCTCTGCTGATGCCAAGGAGACGTTCGAGATTGCAGGAGGCTGTAAGGCAGTTTCTGAATGTGAGGTAAGACTCTTGCCAGTGTCCAGGCATCCTAGTGGAGAGATACCGAGGTGAGCCAGTGACAGCCCTCAATGTGAAGCAGAGAAGTTGCTAAGCTGGGGTTCTCTGCTGACTGAGGCCACAGGGGGACCCACAGAATGAGGAGTCAGGCAAGGTCTGAAGACCTCTGCATCCTTGATTTTGAAATACAGTGCCCTGGGGAAAATGGCAGTTTCCCCCCAGATAAACTGAGTTCTGAACTCCCTTCAGACCAAAACTTAGGCTTGCATTGGGGCTGGGGGGCATTAGCTGGAGTCCTCTGAGAATCTTCCACGGGAAGGGGAATGCACATGCATATTCTGGGAGCTCCTAGGCCAGGGGGCTTGTGGGAACCAGGATTGGGCTGGGAACTGAGAACGCAGCAGGAGGCCCTCCCAGGCAGCGCCCACAGCCTCTGCACTCTGTTTTGTGTCTGCTTCCCAGAAGCCTTCCCTGTGGTCAGCAAATTTTTGGGGGTGTGCATCATGCTTCATTCCTCTTAGAACCTACAGTGTCCCCCACCAATCAGGACCTCTGCAAGCCTCCAAGTCTGCAACAGAACGAACTCTTGGTAAACTCTCAAGCCTCCTCTGCCTTGGTCTCCGGCACCCAGCACAGTGCCGCACACAGCCGGTGCTCCATAAATGCCTGGCAGCTCTTTGTTCCCCAAATAAACCCTGCCCCAAAGTGAGTATGGGCTATTAGACATTTCCCAAACATTCCTTTGGTTTTCCAGCCTCCAGCCCCTCTGCAGGACAGTCTTCCCAGTCCCTCTTCACCAGCTGACATTTTGAGGGTCACTCCTAACCTTCTTTCCTGGGACACCTTCTCTGAGTGGCCTGACCTCAGCCTGGCATCATTCCAGTCAGAGACCTCCAAGGACATTCCCAGTCCCACAGGCAGCCTGACCCACACACCCAAATCCCCTCCTATTTCCCCAGCCCTTACCCTGTGTCTAGCACCAACTATAATGTCTGTTCAGGTGTACCGTAGTCAGCCATTTACAAAGATGTGTAGACACGCATATCTGCTCTCCTGGATATGCTCGGACGTGCACACACACACACTTGCTGTGTCAGAGAGCAGCAGGTTGAATTGGATGATAATGCCGCGAGGCTCAGGACAAGCCACCCCACTCCTGGGCAGGGGCCCTCATAAAAGTCTCCTCTCCGAGCGCCCGAGTCCCAGTCTGTGAAATGAGGAATTAGACTGCACTATCTCTTCAGTCTCTCAGCACCCAAATTCCGACACTTTGTAAGTGGTCAATCATTTCATGAGAACAAAATCTCCAAAGTGACCATAGCACAGAAGGAAAGAAAGGTGCCCTGTGAGCGGAGCCTCTGTACCCCTGCTTCCCTCAGAGAATTACCCCAGAAGCTGAGGACATGGCTCGTGGGAGCCGTTGGTGTCCTGATCAGGCTTCTCCATCTTTTGCTGTGTCTATTATCAGTCCCCACCGGTGTGATACATGCTGGCCTGGGGTCCGTGTCCCACCACATATGAGGCAGATTTCCCAGAGAGTGAACCCTGCAACTGGCTCCCAATTTTGGAGGAGGGAGAATAAACTGATTGACTATTTTTTCTGGGACATTAAAGCCGGCTGTTGTTCTCACAGCCTGTGGGGCCCCCACTGCATCAGTCCCCTGGGGGCTGTTGCCCCCACCCTTGGGAGGTGGGAAAGACGCTGTCCTGACCTGTCATCCCACCACTGCCTGCTCAGCTCCGACTAGCAGCACTCCCACCAGGGTTCTCCATCTTGCACTTGCTCCTGGGAATTTCTGGAAGCACCAGGTGGTGCAAACAGATTTTTTTCATTATGATTATTCTGGGCTTAACCTCCTGGCCCTGCATCACCAAGATTATGGGGCTTTTTCTTACAACTGCAAGGGGTAGAGGCCTCAGCCCCTAAATCACTCTTAGTTTCCTTCTCTACAAATCTGGCTCTTCTCTTGAGAGATCCCCATTCCTCCACACACCCTCCCCGCCTCCTCCAGACTTTGCAGCCGCTGGGTCTCTGGGGCAGCAGATGGGTGCCCGAGACCCTGCCCTCCTGTGCAGCCTCTATTGTCATACAATCTTGGCCTCTCTATGGCAGCTTTCTAATGTGAGACTAGCACCTCTGCACCCGACTTCCAGAGGGCTTAAGGATCTGCCAACATTTGGTCTGAATGCTTTTAATATGAAGAATGTCCTATTCTTTAATACTGTAATAAAAACAACACACCCACACAAATGTATTACATACAAATTTTAGTTAAGTGAAAACTACCAACACATTAAGTTGGGCCACTGCAGTAACTGTTTTTTTGTGCACATTTCCATTTAGAACAAAACTTTCATTTAATTAAAGGTGGCCCTGGCAGTGTCCAGAGAGCTGATTAAAAAAGAAAAAAGCTTACCAATTGCATATACTTCCCCACATGGAATAGGGTTTTCTTGGTAGCACACAGTCAGAACAGACCACAGAGGCTCCCAGCTGGATTGAATTTGCCCCCCGGGGGACACCTGACAATACCTACAGACATTTTTGCTTTATGCTGCTGTGTCTTTCATCCGGTAGGTAGAGGCTAAGGATGCTGAGAAATGTCTTATAATGCACAAGATGGGCCCCCACAACATAGGATCTGGTCCCAAATGTTAGTAATGCTAAGGTTCAGAACTCCTGATATATGGGAAGGTTTTGGATGCCTAGGTTGGCAGAACTCTGATTTCTGTAACCCTAGGTAGCAAATCACTGTATTGACCAAAACTGCCTTATTGTTCTCACCAATTGGCTTAATAAATAAACACTATAAATGGGAAGGCATTAAACAAAGTAATACTTAATAAAACACTGTTCACATGGAGTTTCAGCTAAGATTCTTTTTTAAAAAATTTGTAGCTAAGAAAGCCTACGCCCAGCTGTCCTGCTTGCAGCGCCCTGTGGCGACAGCCTGATGCTCCGGCCCCGGTCCATTGCCCTCAGCTGTCCTCTCGGCTGCAGGAGAGGCACAGCCCACTGCCGGGGAGCCTTCTCAGTGTAAGGGGCAGGGGGCTTGTCATCCATGGACTGTGGGTTCCACAGAGCAGGGGTTTTGGTGTGCTTTGGGCCTGGCACAAAGTAGGTGCTCATTAAATATTCACTGAATGAAATTGAGACTTATTCCCAATGTCTTTGAGGGCCTGGACGTTCTCCCTGACCCCTTCAAGGGGCTGGGAAGTGGGTTGGGCTGCCCTGGGCACTGGTGCCCTGTCCTGATCTGCTGCTCTGGGCCCAGCTGGCCACGTCACCCCCAACAAGTCCCAAATGGCCGTTCACAGGAGATTGGTTCCTTTGGAGGAGGCTCTGGACATCACAGGCCCACCTTCCAAGTCCTCGGGTTGGGGACTGTCATCTGGACATTGCCCAGAGCAGCCTTGTCTTCCCTGAAGGTTCAGCCCAGCCTCCCATTCCCTCTCCAAGAGCCTCACTCAGGCAGGCTTTCGGCTGGTGCCCAAAGCCATTCATCCAAGGTTTCTAAAGCTATTTTCAAGATGCTGTCCTTTCCCAGGGGACAGGACAGGACCTGGGACCCTGGACCTTCTGGAGCCTCACCTGGGACACCCAGCTGCCAGGGCTGCCAGGCTGATGACGCAGCAGCTCCTCACTTTGACAGTCCAGGTCCATTGTGCATTTGAGCCTCACCAAGCACCTGGGCCATGCCGGGTCCTGCGCTCGGTCTGGGGACACGACAGCCAATGGCGCCCATAGTTCACCCGCATTTAAGGTCATGATTAACCATCGTAGGGAAGAGATTTTTAAGGTCTAAGCCCCCAGAGGCAGGTAGCTCAGCCCAGTAATGCTAGCATCCCAGCAGAAGTCACTTCTTTCCTCATGCCCCTGCAGGGAACACTACAGAACAATGACTGGGCCAGGGGCACTGGTGGCGGGGGGTGGGCTCAGCACATGGCCTTTGCTCTGCTAGGACACGAGTGCTCTGAGGCAGAGACTTCTTCCCATTCACTCTGAACTGCTAGGGCGAGTTTGTGTGTATTTTCAAGGCCCTTATGCCAAGAGCCGGGGTGGCCACCCACCTGTGGGGCACAGGACTGGCCCTGTCCTGGCCAAGGGCAACTGCCACCGTGAAGGCTCTCAGGCCGGGCCACACAGGCTCCCACCCGGGCCTCACCACTCCCAGACTGTGTGGCCACAGGCCCATTGCCTAGTCTCGCCAAGCCTGCCTCTCTTCAATTCTAAGATGGCAACAATAATATCCTCATTTGGCACCACCCAACCTCAGTTGGTGGTTGTGAGGATTGGATGGTATAATCCATGCCAAGTGCTTAGATCAGGCACACAGTAAGACCTTGAGAAATGTTAGCCACCACCATCACTATATCCCTTCAGAGCCCAGCAACCTGCAGACCAGAACTGCCCACAGGAGGACATCTGGTTGCCTCCTGGCTATTGGGTCCTTGTCTTCCTTCACAGGAGAGCCCTGATGTGGCTTCTTAAAGCAGGAGCATGAGGCGTCCCCACCATGCAGTGGACAGTCTCTTGGGAGGTACTGCTAAGTGGCCAAAGCAAAGCCTGAAGTAACAACTTCCAGAGATTCAGGTGAGGATCCACCCACTCCCCAAACTTACAGATGCAGAGACCCGCGAAGATCCTCCCTCCTCCTCATCAGAGGCAGGAACCCTGCCCAGAGAATGGCTGGCTCTGGGCTCAGCCCTGACCTGGACTTCAGGAAGAGCCCCCTGCAGAGGCCGTTCAACTTGCAGAGACCCCGGGGAGGCAGTGGGGCCGTCCCGGCTGGGCGCCCAAGGGGAAAGAGCCCTGTTCACATGTCAGCGGGCTCGATTGCTTCAGAAGACACCCCAGGGACATTTCCCACAACTATGGCAGGACGGGGTCAGAACGCCTCACACCTTGCAGTTGAGGCTGGCCTGGCTGGGCTGTGTGTTCATAACAATAAACAGCACCTACAAAGTAGCCATCTAGCAGAGTCTAAAAACTATCTCCTGGTATCAAATTTGAAAAATTTTGATCTAAATATGACACGTGAGCTTTCTCGCTGAGGATGGTCTCCCCGCAAATACTGGAGCAGGCTGCTGTGACGAGAAGGGCAGCCCCGTGGGCGCCCCTGCCCCTCCCCAGGAGGCCTTGCAGGGCAGCTGCACTGTGCAGGGGCCCCAGTAGGAATGAGCCTTCCAGTTTTCCTCAAGCCACTGTCTCTAATGACCACCAAGTCCCGGATGTTAAGAAGAAATTGAAGCCTGTCGTGGAACAGGCTTGTCAGGCTGAGTCAGGTTGAGAGGGCATCCTGGGGTCTGCCCTTGGCACACAGCGGCACCTGCCGCTCCCACAGCCTTCCCCACCTCCATCTCTCAGGTGCCCAAGACAAACCCTTGAGGTTCTATATGCCTCTCTCCATTTCAACGACTCCTGCTGGCTGTTCTTACAGTATCTGCCAGAATCAGACCACAGGCCACTGTGTCCTCAGCTGCTGCCCGGGCCTGAGCACTAACTTCTCCCACCTGATCATTGCTGTGGCCTCCTCACCAGCCTCCCTCTTCTGCCTTCACCCTTCGACCAGCTGCAGGATGATAATTTTAAAATGTAAGTCCAATGTTGTCACTCTTCTAGAATGTTTCAGGGTTGGACCCTTCCCAGCTCGCACAGAGTAAAATGCAAAGCCCTTTCTGTGGCCTGCGCAATCTGCTCCCACTCGTCCCCACTGCCAGCACCCTTACCTTGGACCTCATCTCTGACCTTGTCCCCTCACACTCCTCCCAGGCACCCCAGCCCTTGTTCTGCCTCGAGTGCCCCCAGCACATCACAGCTGCTTCTCTGTCCCCGGGGTTTGCTCCCACACAGCCTCAGCCTGCCCTGCCTCCTCCAGGTCCCTGCTCAGGTATCACCGCATCAGAGAGGCTTTCTGAGGCCAGCCTGACAAGTGGCCACCCAACCGCACACCCAGGCTCCTCTGCTGTTGGCTGTATGGCATTGCTGACACATCAGCTATAGGTTCCTGTTTGCTTGTAAGTTTATTGAAATTTGTTTATTGCTGGTCTCCCTCCCTAGATCATGAGCTCCTTACGCACTAGACCAGACCTGGCATTGTTCACAGCTCTAACCTCAGTGCCCTGCAGTCCACAGGAGAAGCGTAGTTAATGCTTGTTGAAGCGATGATGAAATAAGTGGACCCTGAGGCAGCTCCAGATACCGTGATTCCTCTACTCTGCCCACGGCTGACAGGGCCGGATGCTGCCAAGCCCCAGACAGGCCAGCACCCATGCGTAGAGGGAGGGGAAAACTCAGCCCAACACACCCTGGAGGTTGGTGGCCGGCCCTGTGTCTATCGTCAACTCCCTCTTCCTTAGGAGGTTCAGAGAGAGGATTAGCCAGGAGACAGCAAGAAAAAGAAATTACCTGCTGAAGTGTCACGAGCAGCAGACAGTGGCTCACCGTAGAAAGACCACAGATCTACGGATGAGGCCAGGGTCTGCCCCAGCGCCCTCTGGTTGCAGATGCCATTTGGAGCCATCAGGCCCTAGTGTGGCATTATTACACACACAATGTTGAGTCACTGGTGCCAATGGTAGATTGGGTTTAGGTAAGGAGAGGTTACTGTGTGTGTGTGTGTGTGTGTATGTATGTGTGTGTGTGTGTGTGTGCACGCGCGTGCGTGTGTGTTAGGGCTCGGGGCAGCTTGTGTGAGATAGAGGGATGATTTTACTGGTCTTTGGCTGGATGGCTGGTCAGGGTATGCATCCCAGAAAAGGAAGGCCCAAAAGAGTGCTCACAGCTTCAACAGGAGATTATGATTTGGGAGGATATTTCAGGTAGAAGAAAAGAAATATAAGAAACAACACAATTGTTTCCTAAGCAAGGACTAGGAGCTGGAAAACAATCTCCTAGGTTGGCTAAAGCATAGGATTCAGGCTCAGGAACCAGGAAGAAATGAGCAGTTGTTTCTTGAGCACCTACTGTGTGCCAGCCTCTGCACTCAGTAAGGGAAGATGAATGGGCCTGATCTCCCCCCGCCAACAATCACCACCTGCACAGGCAGTGGGTGTGAGAAATACGCAGTTCCCATGTGTGCACATGCATGCACAGACACATAGGAATACATACTTGGATGAGATGGCTCAGTGGCCTTTGTCAAGTCTCTGAAACTTGTTTCTCCTGACAGAATATGGGCAGTAGTGCTAGCAGATCCACAGGGCACCTCGCAGGCTGTGTCCAGCTCCTGTCCCAGAGTTCCCTGGGGCCCAGCCTCCTACCTGGAAACAAATCCTTGGGTGGGTCCTGTTCCTTCCAACACAAGCACCCAACTACTTCCTCCCACCAGAAACAGGACTCTTGAGTGTGCTGTTAGTGGGACAAAGCAGGGTGCAGTATAGTGTGGAAGCAGGTGGACTGCATTTGTAATGTTGAAAGCCACCATGATAATGGATATAAGTTAGCTCTGGAAGGAAACGAAGATGCTGGCAGAATGGGGTGAGGGCAGCAATGGCAGAGAGACTTTGTTTTTACTGTGTTTTATTTCACATTTTGAATTTTGTATCAGGTTTATGCATGATTTAATTAAAATAAGGAATTAATCTAAAAAATTTTTTTTAAATTCCTAGGCTCTAAAGAGCCACACTGCTTTACAAGCAAGAGCCCAAGTATGGTGGCCCACAGGCCTTCCTCAGCCCAGGTGCCACCCAAGGGCTATGGCCCAGACACACTAAGGACTCCAGCCGACCTGTACACAGAGCACTGGTCTGGGAGGCACATGGAGCCCACGGAGGCTGGCAGCCTGGAGAGCCAGGCCATGTCAGCCTCTCCCCGAGCTGCAGCCTGAGTAGGCTCCAGTCCAGACATTGCTCAGCCCTCACATGACTCTGTTGGAGAATCAAGGCCCCAGGAGAGGAAGTCCCACGAACCGGTCCTTTTCTGGTGCCCACTCCCAGCCGCATCCGGGTGATGATGAGATGGGCCCCAGGCTTGGAGTGGTAACATCCCATGCTGTTGGGGGCCAGGCCATCACAACTGGCTGAACATCTCCTGCAGGGATTTTGGAACTTGGCATGCAAAGATGGCGTGGTGGACAGTGAGATCAAAGGAGGCATGGAGTGAGTAACCAGCCGCAGGAGACTACATGCATTTCCCATGGACGAGTGCCTTGTGAGAGAAAGGACTCCCGGCTCTTGAGGAAATGCTAAGCTATTCTGAATGTGAACTTACAATTTTAGAGGCAATTAACGGGATTTGGTTGCATGACTCATGTTATAAGCCCACTGGGGCTAAAACCTCAGAGCGCTTGGAGTGCCACACCCCAAGTCTGTTCTTGGCCCTGAAAGGAACAAGAGCTGATGGACAGGGCTGCTCCTGGGGAAGCTCAGCAGCCTGAGAATACTGGAGGTGGGTCAGAGGATCCAAGCACATTCCAGAACTTTCTGGCTGAGTGACCTACTTCTTGGCAATCTTGGAGCATCCTACAGTCTAGGGAAAGACATTTTTAATGAAAACGTTATGATAATTGGAGCTGAGTGACACTAATCTGGCATGAGAATTCCTGCCATGAGTCCTGAAGCTCCGGCTGCCAAATACCAGTGTTTTCATTTGCTTGGTCAATATTAAATGGTGACTTACTCCAGTCAATAAGGAAGATTAAATAATTTCATGGGATTGCTTTTTATGACGTTAAAATCCATATTTCGGAATGGCTAATAGGCTAACTATACGCCTCACTATTGTTATTCAATAAAATATTAACCTCAACTATTCTGGAACAAAGGAGTTTTCAGTTACAGTTGATCCTGGTAGGCCAAGGGACCTATGCAAAACTATTCCCAGCCACAGCCTTAGAGAAAGGAGTGCTTCAACCCTGATTTCCCCCGGCTTTTCAGCCTTTCAAGATGAGGGCCCTGTTTTAACTTTCAAACGTTTCTGGTCTCCTGGGTAAGAGCAGCTTATTTTGTTCTCCCATGTAACGTTTGAGAATGGTGAGGTGGAACTGTCTCCAGACTCTGGCAGAGGTCCCCCAAGGCCCTCAAGCCAGGCCTGCCTCCCCAAGAATGTGATCAACTGTCCCAGTTTGCTGGGGTCTGAGGGGTTTGCCAGGGCATGGGACTTTCAGAACTAAAACCAGAAAAGTCTGGGGCAAACTAGGACAAATCACTTAGCCTATCCCCTCGTCATGCAGTCCCTACCATAGCTGCCTCCTTCACTGAGGTCCACAAGGACCAGGAGGGGCAGGGTGGTCCCGCCAACAAGTCAGAGAATGATTTCTTCCACATGGTGGTCCACCTGCTCCAGACTCTGTGCCAAGGGCCTTTCATGCATTATCTCATCTCACACTTCCCACAGATGCTTTCCCCATAGTTCCACAGAGGTTAAGTGACTTGTCCAGGGTTACCCAAGGCAATAGATAGGGAGGCAGGAGCGGGGACACAGGTCTACCTAATGTTAAAAGCCCACGCTTCACCTGGGAACATGAATATAAACCAAACAATCATTCTATAGTCTCTTATATGACTTGTCTTTACAAATTTTGCATGAGAAACCCTAAAATGCTTAACACTTTGTACTCTCAAGATTTAGCTCTAAAAGGATTTTATTAGAAGTCTATATATATTTATTAGAAGTCCAAATATATATTTTCTGATATATAGTAAAGATTATATAAAACTGTCACATCCCTGTTTTAAAATGTATATAATAATGATACTGCAAAATAGCACAAACCCTGTGGAGGGGAATTTGGTAATATCTAGCAAAATTACCTAAGTGTTTACTCCTTTACTCAGCAGTGCCACTTCTAGGAATCTATCTCAAAGATATGCTAGCAAAAAAATACAAGTGACACATCAAAAGACTATTCCCTGAAACATGATTTATAATAGCAAAAGACTGGAAATCCACATTTCCAACAATCAGGGACTGGTTTGACAAACTACAATGTCAATACAATGGTGTTCTATGCAGCTCTAGAAAGGAAGAAGGATAATTTCTGCATATATTCTTGGTTGAATCTACAGGGCATATATTGTTATATGAAAAAGGCAAGGTTTAAAATCATGTGTATAGTATACTACCCTTATTATATAAAGACTGGGGAATAAAAATATCTGTATTTATATTTGCCTATAGTTCAAGACAAGGGCAACAACAATTGAAGAGGAAATGAAAATGGTTTCCTGTATACGGGGGAGTATGAAGGAATTAGGCAAAGAGAATGGAAACTAAACTTATCTGAATTTATCTTACTTAATAGCTTTGACTTTGGAATCATGTAATTGCTTTACAAAATAAAGAAAATTAAATTTAAAAATATGTGTAAAAATCAAACATAAAATAGAATAAATGAACCTAACTGCATATTAAGTTGTTGGCTTAACTGGACAGAAAATTATAAAAGTGACCTTGAAAGACAGTAATTCAGATGAATATTGCAAATAAAACATATGCTAAACAAATTGCAAAGAATACTTACATTGAGTTCATTAATCACATTGTGATAATAATATTAGTAATATTATTTTGAAATGATTATATACTAGGATAAAATAATTATGTTACTGTTAATAGGAATCAAAACTTTCAGCATAAAAGAGACACAAATACAAAATTTAAGAAGTCAAATTCTGTAAGCTCCAAGATCTGAAATTAAGATATGTAATCTTTGAATCTGAAATACTAATGTTGACTCATAATTTTTATATTTTAAAACAAATACCTATTCCTAGCTCTGTCTTGTGACAAGACTTAGAATCCATGACCCCCTCCAAGGAGCAATGAGTACCCCTAGATCCTAGATTATGGTCTCTAAATATCATCTCCCAGTAAAGGCCTTCTTGGAGAAATTTCTGGTGGCCTGAAGTGGGAAATGTGCAAGAGAGTCGGCAACATCTTGTTGAGCTAGAAAGCAAGGCTACCTGAGACTACTGGGGTCATGTCAAAAGATCACAGGAGTCAAGTCCCATTGGCCAGAAAAAGGACAATTTGAGCATCAAAAAGAATAATGACTGCAATGGAATGAAATAGGTCAAGTATATTTTTTAAAAACTGAGTTTGTACATAATGGTGTAAAAATGAAAAAAGATTGTCAGACTCAGGCTCTAGGTTCTGAGCACACCTGCATGTTCTTGGTGGGTATGCAAAGAACACAGGTTCCTGGCCACTCTTGACCCAGACCATTTATCAGTGTTCTGTTAGCAGAGAACAACCTTGGGGGATGAGTAATGTCTTCCTCCAGGATAAAGGTGACTCCTCATCCACCAGGCTCAGTGCTTCTCCCTGTGCTTCAACCTCACTGCAGGTACAGCATCCACCTGGGCCACTCCATGTTGCCCCATGGGACCTGGGAGACAAGGGCATGTGAAGCTCATGTTGCTCACTGGGCTGTGAGTCCTTTGCTCTGACCTAGGAGTTGCATGTCTTCTGCTGACATCCATGAGACTGTGGCAGGCTAACTTGATGGCTTTTAGTAAGCTAAGATCTCAGACATCCATCTCACTGGTCACCTTTAGCAATTATTAGGACACTGGCTCATTATTTTGAAAACTGGTAAAAAGCAAGTGTTTATTTGCAATTCCTGTACAAACTGTATTTCAGGGTAACTAAATAGTTGATGTAGGAGAATTCTTTATAGAAGAATTTCAGCTAATAAATTCAGAAGGGGTGGATAGAACTCAAAACCCACCATTTTTCACACCTTAATGTAATAATGAATCTAGGCGATGTTCATTAATGGATTGGCTTTTAAAACCACTAGCTAGAATGTTGATAGAAAATTTTACAATGCAGCACTCTATAGTGACTGTCTCACAAAAAGACAAAAGATATTATGTGACACCTGCTATGATAAAATAAGAACTAAACCATACTATGTATGAAATGTTCTTATAGAAAATTGCCCATTAATCTGATCAAGCCTCCAGACCTATCAAGAGGGTACAATAAACAAATTCCAGACCATGGGAAACAGGACAGATGATTTTGTTTCTTCAATAAATAAAGCACCAGAAAAATAAAAAAGAGGGAGGCAGAACTACTAGGTACCGCAGAGACTTAAGAGACATGTCAACAAATGCGACCAAAATGTGAACATCTTTTGGGTCCTGATTTAAACAAACCATCCGTAAAAAGCCATTAATGAGACACCTGAAGGGTTTAAACATGATGGGATATTTGTTGATATTAAGGAATAAATATTAACTTCTAGGTGTTAGGAGTTCTTACTTCTTAGAGACTGAAGTATTCACAGATGAATGATGTGAGTCTGCAATTTGCTTTAAAACAGCCCAGTGGCCAGGGGCAGGGGAATGGGAGGGTAGAGGTTAGGGATGAAACAAGATATGTCATATGTTCATTATTAAAGCTGGTCATGGGCACATGGGGATCTGTTTTACTATTTTCTTTACTCTTGTTATTGAAAGTTTCCATAGTAAAAAATTATTTTTTAAGCAGAATGGTACTATTTCCAGATTTCTTAAATAATGCAACTAATGAGATCCAAATACGTAATAATTATGCATTTGACAGAATTAAAACAGTACATCAATTGGTGGGGGTAAGGGTAGGGTTCGGGTTAGGTGTAGGGTTACACAGAACAGAAGAAGGAATTACTTCTATTGAGATGAAGCTGATTTTCTACAAGCTGTGTGCACTCCATCCTAAACAGCTTTCAGGGAACATTTTGTCCCATGCCCATACCTAAGTAGACCATCTGCTTTTAATTTACTTTCTGGAAATTATTAGCATGAAGAGAAGGTAAAAATACTGTTAATGATGTGAAAGACATCATATTTTTTTTATATCAAAAGGGGGTCAATATACTTGAAATGATTGGAACCCACTGGACTGGGGTGAGCGGGAGGGGCCCTCCAAGACACTGAGCAGCTTCCTCCACCCCAGCCTTTCACCCCAACCCTGAATGTATTAGGTACCCTCGCTGTGCCTCTCAGGCTGCGCCATAAACCTGCCCCTGGCCCTCCTGGGCCCGGCATGCTCAGTTTGGGCCTGCCTTCTTGGCCCAGCTCGCTAGTTCCTGTGCTGGGGCCTGAAGCCATGAGGCCATGATGGAGTGCGGGAAGGGGGCCTGCTATGGGAAGCCTGGCCCTGCTGTAGATCTGCCCAGTCCTCCAGGCCAGCAGAAAAGGCAGTGATCTCTGACCACCTCCGATCTCCATGGGTCCTCCCCTCCATTCTCACTGTTCCTCCTTCGGGTCTCTAGAGAGGCTTTCCTTCGCCACCCCACCCAGGAAAGCAGCCTCCTGTGTGTTCCTGAGGACACAGACTAAACCTGCATCAGCTCCTGCGCCTCCTGGGGAAGCCGGCCAGGCTGTAACCACCAGAGCCTCTCCCCAGTCCTTTGCAGGCTGCTGCTCTTGTTGGAAGAAGAATGAGGAGGTACAGAGACAGGGTAGAGCCTTAGCACAGGGGAGCAAGTGGTGGAAGGAAAAAGATGTGCATAAATGCACCCCCTGCCCCAAGAGGGCACAATCTGCAGGAACTCAAGGAAGTAAAAGGTGAGTCCAGGAGACCATCAGCAGGGATTTACTCAGAGACTGTTAACGGCCAGGAGGGGTGGGCAGGTGTGGAGGTGGGGATCCTGGGCTAATGCGAAGGAGGAACAATAGAGGTGGAGGTGCTGAGGCACAGAAGGGAGGTAGTTAGTGACTCATTCATTCATTCATTCATTCACTCAGAAAATGGACCTGTGAGAGACTCCAGCTACGCTGCAGTGCCTTATACATAGTCCTACAGCTGAAAGTGCCCTATTTAAGAAGGCTCACAGAGCTTGATGCCCCAGGGGCCACCATCAGAGAAGAGGGTCTGGGAAAGCCCCACCAAGGTTTGGGGCTGAGGGACCTCGTCAGAGCTTAGGCGCCTCAGGGCTGGTCCCATAAGCTCCATGATTTGCAGTAAGCCACCTGTCAGGGCTTCAGGGATTCCAAACCCTCTTGATAACAGGACCATAGACCCCTCTGTCAGCACCCAAACAGTCCAGGAAAGTTTGGCTGGCAGTACAGTGAGAAGAAACGAAGGGTCTCCCAGGACTCTTGCGTGTGGCAAACAGCTGGGCCAGCATGCCCCTGCAGGGAGGGGCAGCCATCAAACAGGAAATACCCCAGCTGAGGGACTGAGAAACTTGGCAGAGCTCTGACCTGGAGACTGATGCTCCCGAGCCCCCTTGACTACCCCCCATTACCCCCATGACAGCGTGGGCAGGAGGATGAAGTCTGGGTAACCCGGTCCCCAAGAAAGAACCCCTGTGAGTCCACCCACACCAATGCATTCCACTCAGAATCACTTGGAACCCCACCTGGCCTAGTGTATCTCTGACCCTGACTCCCAACTTCTGGTTTCTCTAGGGCAGAGTGGGGATGCAGGCTGGGAGTCAGATCTGAGAACTGGTCAACCAAAAGCAGGACCATTTAGTTCGACTGGCAAATGTGCACACCTGTGTCCACATTGGCCCTGCTGGAGCTGCCTCCTCCCACCACCCCCACTGCATCCTGCACACCCATTGTCACAGCCACTCAGCTGTCTGTCATCCATAAAGGTGTGTCCCTTTCATTTCTCCATCAGTTCCTCAGCTCAGCAGCAGCGTAAGCATGCCAGAGGCGAGTGACAGAAGTGGGATGAAAGGAGGAAGAGAGGAATGGTGATGCTTGTGGCCTGGGGGGCCCCCTGGGAAATGTCCTGCTCATTTGACCCTTGGCTCTGTGACCCGCAAAAGGAGATGGCACTTGGCCAAGCCTAGAGTGTCCCAAAGTCAGACTTCCAAGGAAAAATATTCAAAGAATTGAAATTCCTCAGTCCTAGAGGGAGAGGCTAGCCAGGGACTGGCATCGGCTTTCCCAGGACAATCAGCCTCTGTCCAGACATGTGAGGAGCCAGGGCCCCAGGTCCTCCGTGCTCTCCGGATGACCCAGCCAGCCAGGACGAGCATCAGGAGCCCACCGGCAGAGGCCTCTCAGCTCAGGCCCCTACGTCACTGCCGGATTCCAGCTCAGAACCTCCTGCTTATGTCCATAAGCCAAAGCCTGAGGGCAGGCAGGAGCAGGAATCCGCATCATTGAAACCAGAGATCCTGGGTTGCAAATCAGGATCACCTGGGGAGATGGTTAGACGTGGTAATAGTCTTGTCCTGCCCCAGACCCCTTTAATCAGAATCTCCGGGGTGGGACCCGGGTCAGGGGATTACAATGTGCTGCCAGGACGGAAACCTCTGGCCCAGTTCTCACTGCCCCCAAGTGCTTTTGACATGAAATGTGAAAAAGCGGTGGGAAGGAAGGGCAGGGAGGTGCACATCGGGCCACAAGACGGCTTGGTGACCCGACTTAAACGCTTTGGTCATCTCT